ATCTACATGATGAAGTAGTCATAGAGCATCGTTATTACTGAGAGTTTACGTCCCTGCTCACCGACCTGATTGTCCAGGAATGGTTTAAGTCTCAGTTGTCACGTTATTAGATCGTAAGGACTTCTGAAGGATGCCAATAAGCTTTTAAAGTCCAGAATCAATTTATTGGTAACACCATCACATCAGTTTGGTCTTTTTACATCATCACATCAGTTTGGTCTTTTTACACCATCATACCAGTTTGGTCTTTTTACACCATCACATCAGTTTGGTCTTTTTACACCATCATACCAGTTTGGTCTTTTTACACCATCATATCAGTTTGGTCTTTTTACACCATCATATCAGTTTGGTCTTTTTACACCATCATACCAGTTTGGTCTTTTTACACCATCACATCAGTTTGGTCTTTTTTTTACACCAGCATATCAGTTTGGTCTTTTTTTACACCATGACATCAGTTTGGTCTTTTTACACCATCATATCAATTTGATCTTTTTTACACCATCATATCAGTTTGGTCTTTTTACACCATCATATCAGTTTGGTCTTTTTACACCATCATACCAGTTTGGTCTTTTGACACCATCATACCAGTTTGTTCTTTTTATACCATCATATCAATTTGATCTTTTTACACCATCATACCAGTTTGGTCTTTTTACACCATCATATCAGTTTGGTCTTTTTACGCCATCATATCAGTTTGATCTTTTTACACCATCATATCAGTTTGATCTTTTTACACCATCATACCAGTTCGACCTTTTTACACCATCATATCAATTTGATCTTTTTACACCATCATATCAGTTTGGTCTTTTTTTTTTCTCTGATTTTGTATAAAAACAGAGACCGGACTGGATTCGAACTGCGATTTTGTTGCTTTTACTTCACGGTTTTCCAGTCAACAGGAGAATTAAAGCTAAAAATATCATTTTACTAAAATTCCTTATGATGATGTAGGGCAACATGTCTTTTCACCCTACCAGTGTCACTAAAATTCCTTATGATGATGTAGGGCAACATGTCTTTTCATCATTCCAGTGTCATTTTAATCAGTGAGGAAAATATCACTCATTACTAGACTTCTTTAATTTAATTTGTATCGGTATTTAAGTATTTATTGAAATTATTTATGCTACTAATCCAATTATGCTCTCTTTAACACTATATACATAATCAGAAGCCATCTAGTGCTCAGGAACGAAAACAAAAAAAAGATGATGGAAAGAAATTAGCTAACACGATGTTTGATAAGCAGGAAAATCAATATATACTACGAAGTTAAAAACAACAAGATCAACACTATAGTAGTAGTAGTACATTAACTTACCACAGATCATCGCACTGTTGGACTTGTGGTTAATTCATTAATTTCGATAGTCGCCTGAGGCAGAGAAGAATTGTTCTACGACAAAATGTATTCTATAACGTTGTTTTCGTGAGTCTATTAAATAACCCAACATGCTCATGGCTTTTGAGATACGAGCAAACAGGAGAGAAGAAAGCCTTTGATAGGACAATTGACCTCGCGGCGCTCGTGGCATACATATACCCGATCTGAGCTTCTCGGCACTCCTAGCTTCTGTAGAAAAACATAGGAGAGACCCTTAGGTCCTATGATTATGGGAGGTTGAAGATGAAGCAGTCGCGAGGGAAGTAAGAAATAGTCTCTTGGTTTTTTTATCTTTGCCCCTTATCATTCTTCACGTAGGCCGTGTATAAATGGAGACGAAGTCCTTTTGTATGCGTAAAGCGATTACGAGCACGTTGTGGGACGAGAAACTGGCAGTGGCACAATAAACACTTCAACTGATTGAAATGTATTGGGTCTTACGATATTTCATGTTTCCCTAACGATCCTGAAGTTCTTTTAACAGCCTATTCACAACATTTTCACGATTACTTTCAACAACTTTCGAGGCTCTAAAAAAGAGAGGAACTGAACTTCACGCCAAAGAAACAACAAAACTGAAGAAACTACTTCCATGAACAAATGGTAAGAATATTCTGAAAATTGGTCAACATATCCAATTATATTCCTGCTCTTGGTCAACATATACAATGATATTCCTGCTCATTGTATCATACATACTCTTGGTCAACATATACAATAATATTCCTGCTCTTTGAGTCATACATACTCTTGGTCAACATATACAATGATATTCCTGCTCATTGTATCATACATACTCTTGGTCAACATATACAATGATATTCCTGCTCATTGTATCATACATACTCTTGGTCAACATATCC